TTTTTATCACCGCGGACCTGTCAACGTTTGATAATTTTTCCGCGGCCCGCTTGGGGGGGGGGGACGTTGATTGTTTGTATTTTAAAGTATTTTGATTTTTTAATTTTATTTTATTTAAACATGCCTTCAAAATAAAATACAGTTACACATACACTAAAAAATAAATTTAAAGTGATTTAACATTTTAACTTACTAGAACGATGAGAATCCTGAACTTGTTTCTTTGCAATAAGACGGTTCCATCTGGGGTAATCGTTTTAAAACGTTAAAAAATTTATGTCACTGCCTTCGTGAGCCACTTTTTTTTTTAAATAAAAAAAAATAATTTAATGGAACACAGATATTTTTAATTTTTGGTATAAACCTAGGAATTTTAATTCAGTTTCAATGAAATGGGCGGCCCGGTACCATTTGATTCACGGACCGGTACCGGTCCGTGGACCTGGGGAACACTAGTCTAGATGAAAGGTCCATATATAAATAATAGTATTTTTTATTCCGTATAGCAATTTAAAAGTATAATTTTTTAACTATCATCTTTCATTGAATCAAAAAAATCTTAGTGAGTTTGCATCAAAAAACTGCTGAGTAAAAATAATACAAAAAAAAAGAGCACGCTAAAATGCTATTTAATCATGAATCGTAGATTTTATTCTATAATTTTATGTAATTTATAGAACTGCAAAATTTCTGTTTTTTCGTATCAAAATTTGTTTATCATTAATTAACTAAATTATTAAGCCTAAACTTTTGACTGGTCTGACTAAACTACGGAACCATATTTTTCAGACTGGGGCCTGTATTTTAAGAATCAGAAATACTCCAAAGAAAATTTTTTTTAAACCGTTTAGTAGAACTTAGTTTTATTTACATAAGAACATTTACATTACTTCATATAAAGTTAGTTTCATTTACAGTATATAAAAACATGTTTGTGAAAATTGCAACACCATGAAGTACTTACGCGAGTGAGCTGAAATTTTCAGGAAATGCAAAGTAGAGCATGATATGCAAATGATTAGAATTTCAGACCCGTAGTGAATGCATATGCTGAGCAGCGCCCTCTGAACGGCGGATGGATCCGAATAAATAGACGGCTGTAGCCAAGCAAGTATGGTTATCGGTGGTTATCTGCTAGTGGTAAACGTTAGCTTAGTCATTACTTATGCCTATTCGACGAAAGAGAGCGAGATTTCAACAACTTACGGAGTTTAAACGGGAGAGAATCATCGGCCTTCGCGAAGCTGGATTATCTTATCGTGCAGTAGCCGCTCGTGTGCAGCGTAACAGCAGCACAGTGATGTGTGTTTGAAAGCAGTGGATGGACGAGTGTCGGGCAACTCGGAAATCCGGGAGGCGACTTTACACATTGTCGACTCCCGGGCACCTCCACTCGCGACTTTACACATTGTCGACTCCCGGGCACCTCCACTCGCCGCGGTTTTATTTGTCAACTGTTTCACCGCCTTATCTAGTAACCCTCACTCAGAGGCAACCCTACGCTCGCCTCAATACAGCACTCGCAAAAGTCATAAACGAATCTTCGCGCTCATGGATATTTTTAAAAGTTGCTTGTTGAATAAGTTAAAATTTTATCCTCGTTCAAGACTAGAAAAATTCAAATAACGAGAACAAAATACTTCGTCCTTCTTTAAAGAAAAAAGGAAGAAAAATTTACATACACACAATTATTTCAGTTAATTACATACATATTTCGATTTAAAAAAATTTCAAATAGAAACTATTCTTGTAAATTAAATAAAAATATGGAGTAGTAAAATAGTAAATTATTCAGAATAATTCATTTTTTTTGAATATCTTAATTAATAAACAAAGTTTAAAAAAATAATTCCCTATATAAATCATCACATTATTAAGTGTACATATTTTTAAAGATAAAAGTATTAAAAAAAATTCTACTCAGTTTGAAAAATAATTATTTTCATTTTTTCATTTTTACCAGGTTTTATCAATTATTTCTATTTTGGAAAAAATATGCATTCTTCAAAATGCTTACAATATCTTTAAAAAATGGCATATATTTTATACTGAACAACTTTCGATTGACAGTATTTTCTTCATAAGAGAGTCTTTAAAAAAATTTGAAAATATTTTCATTAAATTTGTTCAAATATTTTCTGTAAAATGCGTGCTATTAGAAAAACAAGGAGAAAAAATATTTTTAGTGAGGTCATGACATAAAGAAACAAATCTATGACATATTCACTACTATTTTCGTATAGTTAATTTATTTTTTATAACATCAAATCATATTTATTGAAACTTAAAGTTGTGGCTGCATAACTTTTTTTAATGTTTCCTAAATTCGTCTGGGAAAATTCCGATATTTTCCATTTTTCTTGCTTCTATCACTATTATTTGTATATATCTGAAATTACTCACCTTCGTTTTAATTGTTTCCTAATTAATTTTATCATATATTTTGCTATATATATTTATCCTTTCATTCTATGCTTCATTAATTTCATAACATATCCATCTTGTAACTTTTTATTCATAATTTTACAACAACTTCAGTTCATTAGATTCTATAACTAAACAATTGGTCTATATATTTTATAATTTTTTTTATTAAATTTTTGGGCTTCTAAATAAGATATGGAAAAAATACTATGAAAATAATTACATTTATTATCAATCTAAAATTCGGCCTTTTTTTCCTCCTAAGTGCGAAAACTCATTTACTAACTTAAGGTAACGTAATTTAACACGATTCATCTATTTTAATAAGAAAGATTCAGAGAAAAGCAGGATCAGAAAAAGTGAGATGTGTATTTTAATTTAAATTCTGCTTCAAAAATGAGACAAAAGAGACACAGAAAACTGTTTTGTTATTATTTAATAGTCTTCATTAGTCTTTAAAATTCCAAAAGAATTTTGCAGTTGCTGGAATCATATAATAGTCTCATTTGCAACAACTTGTTTTTTAATTTTCTTTTACACAATAGCTTTTATTGTATGCAATTTGCTTTAAAAGTTCAAATATTTATTCTTGGATTGTCATGCAATCTGTGTGTCTGAAAACTGTATGACCTATTTTATTTTATTTGTTCCTTGCAGAATGGTAATAATTGTTTCTTATTTGGTAATAAAAATCTTACTTTTGCTGAGATAACTGATCGCAGGAGTTTTGTTTTATTATCATAACATCGATTAATTTTTTTGAGAAAAGTGTAAGTCCTCAGCCTTTCAACCCAATTGCTTTAAAACTACTTTCTTTATTTAAAGTAAATTATTAAATTTAAAAATTGTTAAGATTCTCTTATTTGACTCAATATCTTGTCTTTAATGAATCAGAAATAAATAAACAGATTGTCCTTATATTGTTATACAGTTATGATATGAGAATGTCAAAGTTGATGCTTACTGTTTACATTATATTTTTATTTTACAAATCATAAAAAGTTTTCTTTAATCAAAATTGTGTTCACCTCATAAATATACTTTAACTGCTACAAATTTTTCAGTCTTTGCTACCAAAGCTGTGGAGTTGGCTAATACGTATGAAGGAATTTATCGTTTGGGACATAACATTTACAAAAAAGTGTCAAATCTAAGTACAATTGTTTGGACGCAAATATTGTTGGCACTGCAAATGGGAATCATTACATCAAATTTAATCATAGATATCAATGTCAGAAAAGTAAAAAAGAATAAATTCATGTATAAAGCTGACAGCAACAATCTCCTCATCATTACACGTATATAAAAAGAAAATGCTTAAAACTCATAAATTGTGTAGTTACTTAAATTAAAGGTTCTAAAAACTAAACAATAAGGTACAAAACCCTGCTGCATTATAGAATATTGTGTCCACATACTTGGTAAAGACACCATAAATTATTTGCAATAATTTTATAAAAATAATTAAAAAGCTATACCCTACTCATATATCCTACACCCACAACAAAACTTTATCCTAAAAAGGAAATAAAAAAGTAAGAAATAAATATGTGTTTCAGGAAGTCCGAATAAAAAGAGAATGATAATACACAAAATTTTTTAAAGCAGCTAAATTTATTCACACCTCATGTTCACTCATGCGTTTTTTAAATCGTATGTCGCAAGTGAAACATGCGCGAATTAATATTCGAAGATTTTCGCGAGAAAATTTGAAACCCGACTTGGCGAATGTAACATTGGCGAATTTCAAAATACGGTGCCAAAGAAGTGCCCGGGAGTCGACAATGTGTAAAGTCGCGACCGGTACACCAGTGAAGTTCTACAGCCCCAAGCAGTTCCCTTCCTTCAAGCCTTGCCAGGTGCTGTATTTTAACAGGACAATGCCCGCCCTCATATCGCTAGGACTGTTCAATCCTTCCTTGCATCGCGACAGGTACAACTTCTTCCTTGGCCGGCGTATTCCCCGGATATGTCGCCGATTCAGCATGCGTGGGATTTCGTTGGTCGGCGTCTCGCTCGTGATCCTCGTCCTGTTGCTTCTACAGACGAACTTTGGGTACGAATGCAAACAGTATGGAATTCTCTTCCTCAGACAGACATTCAAAGTTTTTTTGACTCCATGCCACGTCACGTAGCATCACTTATTGCGGAGCGTGGTGGCTACACAAAATACGGATTTCGATCTCTTGTTATTGTTTGTTTGCTTTGAAAGTTTAATCATTTATTTGTAATACTACCACTCAACTGTGTATTAAATTTTATTCAATTATAACGATTCCTTCATAGTGTTGCAATTTTCACAAACAGGAGTTTATGTTTGTCCTGCAATAAGAGGTAAACTGTAACTTAAAAAGAAAAGAAACTTACCGGATTATATACAGCTGGAAAATTAGTACTAAGGTCTGGGCAAACAGGTTCTGGATATGCCGGATAGAAATGATTAAAAAAGGCAGTTTCACAAGTTAGTGAAGAGGATCCCTATAGGAAATATAAATCATATCATTTGGAAAATATTTAAAAATATTCATTATTAGTAATTAATAATGATGTTATGAGACGATGAAGGTTAGAAAAAAAGGTTTTTTTCCCATGAAAATTGAAATATTTCAGCCAGAATTTGAGACTGCATGTCATCTTGATAGTGTTGCACCTAAGAACACAGATATGTTAAGGAGTCTCTTAAGTACCTTTTTGGTTAAAACGGATTCCTTTTAATAACATTTGACAGCGCTTTCTTTTCTGTTAACTATTTTTTTTTTTCTTCAAAATTTACAAGTTTATTTGCAAATAAACAATCTTTTTTTCGATTTAGTGGATTGCTTTGTTTTTTATGAAAAGACATTCGCCTGATTTTTAAAATATAATTATTTTTTTATTAAAAAATTGAATAGAAAACTACTAGAATTAAAAAAAAAATAGATTATGTTATTTTTGACGAAAATTATACAGGGAGGAGCTTTGGAAGAAATTGAGGAAAATATTTCCTGAAGTTTATATTGCCATTTAAGCCGACCAGGTGGCTGACTGCGGAGCCGATGGTTGCGTGTTCGAATCCCGCTCAGCGCATGGATGTTTCTTACTCTCTCTCTCTCTGTGTTCTATGTCCTTTCTTCTGTGTGTGTGAATGTAACCCGCCCTATAAACGGGTTTGTGGTTGTATGACGTGGGCGACGCTACTCCACCGCCGTGGCTAAGCCATATGTGCTCACTGGGTAAGGATAAGAGAGTAGCGATTCTGGAATTTCTGAGGCCAATGGGAAATAGACCCAAGTGCCCGCCATTAACCAAATAAATAAATATTACCATTTAAATAGTGTAACCTTTCGCGGAATTTAAGATGGAATGGGTTACAGACGATGGGAAGTAATTAATTTCGCAAATAAAATGTCACCAACTATTATTATTGGATAATCATACACAAATTCAGTAAATTTTTACGTTTGATAAGTTATTTTTCGAATGGTCTTGTTTTATTGCGAAGATGTCAATTTCTGCCAGGGTATGAATTACATTTTCCAGGTTTATTATTATTGCATATTTCAAAACGTTCTGAATATAGTAATAAAGCATTTTAATTTAATAAAAATTACATAATCTGAAACTAATTGCATCGAATGTTGTTTTATGTGGCTGAACTAAATTTAATCAGTCTAAATACATATGAATCATTAGATCTCATGTTAAAAATAAAATTATATCCTAAGTGAAGTTCACAAATTTACAAAAGTCACTAGATTTTAAACTTACACAATTGCCAACGGAACGAATTTGTTCGATTGAAACAGATCCCTTGATGTGGAGAGCAGTTACTGTGTAATAAGGAATCCTGTGGACGAAATCCCAACAATGTTGATTATTTACATTTATCTGAAAGAACAAAAATGCAGCACTTAAAAACCTATTTCAAACATTAAACTTGCAACAATACCAAAATATCTTGCACAGTTGCCAGCTTTTTGGGGTTTTATTTATGCATGTTAAATTATTACAATCAAATTACAAAGGTGCTAGAAGGCATTTCCTTTTTTAAAATTCCATTTTAATGTTTATAAAACGCCATCGGATTCATACAAAAACATTTTCCATAAAAAATAATTTGCAGCACTGGTCACAAATATATAGAGAAGTCTAAACTGACCTGTCCACTCAATATTTAATAATGATCAATAAATTGCGGACGCAAACAAAAAGAATACGTATCTATTTGGATAGAAATACGGGTACAGCGCAAACCGAAATTGATTAAATGATAGTGGAACACTGATCTAGTTCTGCCTTTGAATTTGAAAATTCCATTAAAAGAATAATCGAATTTAATATACTAACTAGCCACCTTTAAGAAAAATTTAAAAAACAGTTTGTAAAAGTTCCGATAAAAGTGTTGCAAATGACCAAATAAATTCATTAGATTGACTAGGAATTAAAGCCTGTAAAATTTCCGATAAAAGTGTTGCAAATGACCAAATAAATTCATAAGATTGACTAGGAATTAAAGCCTGTAAAATTTCCGATAAAAGTGTAGCAAATGACCAAATAAATTCATAAGATTGACTAGGCATTAAAGCCTGTAAAATTTCCGATAAAAGTGTTGCAAATGACCAAATAAATTCATAAGATTGACTAGGAATTAAAGCCTGTAAAATGCCATCAAACATTTGTTACTTTTTTTTTCAAACTGATTGTGGCCACCCTGATATACAGTGTTGGTCACACATGACTAGCTGAGTGGATGAACAAGGTCAGTAACATCTCCTACTACTTGATCCAGGAGTTCCCTTGTCTTCTGCATCGGGTTCAAATTTACAAGGCAACGGAGTTGATCGTTAGTGGTAGTCGTAAACCCAAAAAATTGGGTAGGCTTTTCAACGGCTGTTATGAAACTAACCTTAGTGGAAAACCCGCATTCGTGTTGCATGGATACTAAAACCACGAAAATTTCCCATGGTTAGTCCGATGGTAAGGTGAATCTAGCCCTTGACTCCTCTACTACTGAGGATATTTTATTTCAGCAGATGCGAGACGGGATTCGAACTTTTGTAATTTCATTTGGAGGCGAACGCTCAAACCACGGAGCCATAGCTGCTTTAAAAAGTTAAACTTTTGCCGATGTCAATCCCCTTAAAATTCGTATCGTATCCACAACTGAAACTCAAGAGACGAAAAGTGTGAATTATCATTCAATTTCTTATCTTATTAAACCAGTATTAACTTACCGTATAGCAATGTGACTTCACGATAATCAGCATAAGGAAACTTTGCCCTTGACAAAAAGGAAATTTTCCTTCACGCTCTTCTGTCTGCCAACTACTTCGCACTAAAGTGTTACGAACAGCTACATTTTCGTCAAATCTCACACTTATATGTAATGGTCTATCAGCGTTTGAAGTATCCATTCCGGCAAGGAAGTTTATTTCAAACCTGCGAATTTAAAATGCAATGTGATACATGTATTCAGTACTTTTTCCATTAAGTAAAAACATTTACAATCCATATGTTTATTTAGCAGTAGCATATACAAAGCTGCCAACTGCAACGCTTTTTGCAAAATATCTGATAGAGGGAGACAGTTAAAAACTAAAGCTATCAGAATTTTTGGTAATGTTGCCAACATAATAAAAGCCTCACCGCGAGAAAGCTGGAACAAAGTGGCGCTTCATATGAACTTTTGAATCATTAACATGTATAGTGGTGTGGAAAATAAACTTTAAATAAAATTTATAAAACATTGAATTATACATTAAAAACAAAAACTTAGCTATCACTAGAAGAAATTTCCAAAAAAATGTCAAAAGTTGGCAGCCCTGTATTAACAGTGTTACCACTGGTCTTAAAAAAAATTTAAGGTGGTAAAAAAAATTAAAAAAAAAGAAGGCCAGCGTCATTCATTTAATACATTTGGAACAACACTAAAGGTTCTTTAACGAGAACAAAATACATCTATAAGAAGTTCTACCCTAACATACGAAAAAAAATGTGAGGGAAACTTTAGCGATCATAATAAAATAAAAAATTATTTCACTTTAGGAAGGTATGGTATACTTAATAAACACTGTTTTTCGCACACCTTATTTGGACGTCATCACACTTTTCAACTGTACTGTGCTCAAGAGTAATATTAAACAGTGCGCATGCGTCGTCATTGTATACGTTGCTATGGCGATCGCAGCTGTTGGATAATTTCTTTACAATTCTTTTTTTCACTTTTAATTTTGTTATGCATTAAGTTGGTGAGTTTATTTCATTTATATTCTTTTTATGATTCACTTATTCATAATTACTGTCTTGGCGATATCAATATAAAATATTAATACTAAAGAAGGAAAATAATATCGTGACATCTTAAGAAACGTATATTGATTTGAATTGAGAACCAATCCAACCCATTCGACCAGAACTATTTATTTTTAAACTCTACCCTCTACCCTACATTTCAAAACAACTTTCAAAACAAATTAAAAGCTGTATTGACAGAACATACGACAAAAAAAGGAGATTAAATGTTTTTTCACATAATTTTAAATACTTTATCTTTGCAAATTTGCTGTATATATATTTTAGTTTAAATTGATGTTTTACAATAATAATCTCTATTCAACTGATTTGGGGGTACCGCAGATAAATTTGGACTTGTGAAGATAGTACTGCAGATTCTTACCTCAAATACTGCAAAAAGGGTTGTTATTACAATTTCAACAAAAAAGTATTACTTGATATTTCAAATATACTGCAAAAACATGGTGTGTGTTCTTTTTCCTGAAAAACAGGCTTAATACTAAAAAGGAAGATATGACACTATTATAAATAATTTACCTCTCACGATTATATGGTACTGTTCCTTTGATTTCTACAATTGTTCCATCTTGAAGACCTTTTGGAATGCATCCCAAATACGGAACTCCCTGCAACAACAGAAATATAAAAGCAAGAGAAATACTCGAATTGTACTCGATAATCAAGCTTAATTTATATATTTAAAATGTTGGAAGTTAAAAGTTACAAAATTCACTCTACTTTGCATTCCAGTTAACAGTGTTTTTTGAAGTCTTATAAAGCCAAGGAAAATAAAAATAGCCATAGTTTAAGTGTCCTACACTTGAAGCAATGAGATGATTTTAATCTGGCCGTGAAGAATTATTTAGGCTTTAGACAACACCTCCTAGAAGTAGGAAGGCCTCAGCACGGATCAATTTAGTAGTCCGATGTGACGAAGTTAACTGCGCAGTAGACGAAAAATAGGAAAGATATCATTACGTTAGGGGTACTAAGCTGCGCAGTGGTTGAAAATACAAAATATGTCATTACGTTTGGACTACTAAGGGATATTTATGGTAACCCGTGCTGAGGCCTGTTCTTTCTAGGAGGTGTTGATATGACCGATGCGCAGTCTATTAACTAAAACCTGGGTTTGCGATCAGAGGATATTGTTTTACAGATATCATGGTTAGGGTAAATTTCATGTAGTGTTATTATTGTGTATTCCTGTGTTCCTTCCAGACCTGCTGTATTGAAGATTTGCAATCGTGTTTAGCGTCCAAAGGTGTTATGAGAATACTGCTTAAATTTTGCGTTGTTTTAACGATATTTTTTTCGTTAAAACAACGATATTTTTATTTCTTGATGGGACTTGAGAGGTATTTCAAATAATCGCCACCTCCCGGCAATCAAACAAGTCTTGATATTTTTAGTTCTGCCTTCCTCTGCAGAAATACGTAAAATTTACATGGATATTTCGTTTTTTCTTTCCTTAAATCTAATTTAGTGATTCTTGATGAGTATAAATTTTAGAATTAAATTAATTTTTTAAGAATTCAAAAATATATAATATGAGAACAGGCTGTTTTCTGT